CGACTACGACTACGACTCCTACTACTACTACTACTACTACTACTACTACTCCTGCTGCTGCTGCTGCTGCTGCTGCTACTATCACTACTACCACCACTCAGGCCACCCAGACCCAGCCCAGCTGCAGCGCCACGCATAAAGGGTCAGGCTCGTCAGAGTTCGCGGCGTCTGGGATGTGTTGATGCCGGGGTTTACCTAGAGCGTTCTCCATCGTAGTTCCTTTTCTTTCTTAACCAGCTTCATAGTTAGCTTAGGATCCTACAAGTTGTAAAACAGAACTACAATGGAGACTATATGCAGGCTTGAAGGCTCAGAGTTCAGGGTTGCTTGGGCTTAAGTGTTGAGGGTTTCGGGTTAAGGGCTTCGGGTTTAAGGCTTAGGGGTCGGGTTTATAGGCGTAGGGTTTAGAGCCACGTCGCCAGAGTTCTTCCCAACTGAGTAGGGGCTCATTTTCTTACTGGTCGATCTCACGGCTTAGGGTCTCGGGTTGCCCAGGGCCGTACATGAAGAATTCCCTAATTATTATTTAAGCAACTGGGCGTAGTGGTGCTGGGAGTTTACAGGGGTCTTGCTCCAAGCTCATGGAGGCTCATGTGGAGTGTTTTTTGCGGTTGTTCCGCGTGATGTAGTTCCTGTGAAGTATCTGGCGAGTCGAGATGCTTGTAAGCCGACTTACCTGTAGCTACCTGCGAACCTTCAAGCAGTTGGTGTTGCTCTCCCATTGTATATGTCTTGTGTCGGCTTGCAAAGGATACGGTCTAAGGTCACTGTCTGGACGTTAATAATCTGTTTGGCGGCTATACGATATGTTCGCTAAGCTTGGCTTCGTTGTCGGAGACTCAAACCAAAACCCTCAGTATAAAACAGCCTGTCTCCTTTCAGCATACAAAGGCTAGTGAATATTGTTCTGGTGCCTCTAGCTGTAGGGTATCTCTGTTTGCTTGGGCTGCTGCCGACAAAAAAGCCGTGGGCACAAATCCCGCGATACAGCGAGCATGGGCTGGTCCGTGAGTAGCGATCCTGCGCTGATTCCGAGGTGTAGATGGTCTTAATGTTCATGAACCCTAAACCCTAAACCCTAAACCATTGTTCAAGATGTCACAGATGCTCTCGCAACTCCCAAGATGGTTTCAACATCAAGCTTGTGGGTTGTGGGTTTTACTTTGGGGCTTGCTTTCAGGAAAGTGCCCGCAGCTAAAGAAACATGTCATAGAAATGTCACGTGGACGACAGCCTGATCGAACTATAATCCCCTTCCCATTCCTGTAACATGAACTTTCTGAACCGAGCGCCGAAAATTTTCAACAAACCTACCTAAACCCTAAACCTAAACCTTAAACCGAGACCTAAACTCTAAACCTCAGACCCTAAACCCTAAACCTAAACCCTAAACGGTCACAGGTGCCGTCGGAGCCGAGAATTCCAGGCAAGGTAGGGCTTCGCAGCAGCTGCCGAAGCGGGCGGCAACCCCTGGCCATGTACGTAAGAGGTGCGTGGTAACTTAAAACTTATTATGGTATATTATAGTATGTTATAGTATACTATGTTATACTATGGTAATGTGCTCGTTGTATAATACTATGTATTATACTATGCTGCTCTTTGGCTTTGGCAAGGTTTCAACATCGAGCCTACATGTTGGTTCTTGCGTCACCTTTGTGCGGAGAACAACTCAGCAAGTTCCCTTTACTTCATCTCTGAGAGCACATGAGCCCTAAACGAAGTTTGCTTTGCATGCCATGTTTTAAGGTTTAGGGTTTAGGGTCTGTGATAGGTTTCTGTACTGACTGGCCTTAAGTCTGCATTGGTCTTCATTATCCTGTCGTCCTCATGCAGCGATCTTCTGCGGCAGTTTGAAAGTCAGTGCTCGGCTTCATATGGGTAGAGTCGTAGGCGTCGAGCACGGGTAGATGTAGACTAAGGTATCCACGGCATACACACACAAAGACACACATGCAGGCAAACACCCAACCTCGAAGTTGTCCAGTCGACTTGCCGTCCGAGGTAGGATCATTCTTGGTTGCGATCCCTGGACACTGCACAAACTATTATGGCTCGGTATGCCTTTCAAAGTTGAAACGAGCTCCGATAGTGAGGCCAAAATCGGACAAACACGTAGCCAGCAACTGTAAACCAATTTTAAACCTAGACTCTACAACCCTAAACCCTCAACCGTAAAAGCCTGAAGATCTGCACCCCACAGCCTCACCTCCAAAGCAGGCTGGAGCGACTTCGAAGCTCGCATACACGAGGCCTGCACGTCTAGGGTTTAGGGTTTAGGCTGAGCTTTCCCGCTCAGGGGTTCGAGCTATTCATATATATGGAGGTTTAATTTAGGCTCAGGGGTTTAGGGGTTTAGGGTTTAGGGGTTCAGGCGTTCAGAGGGTTTAGGTTTTAGGGTTGAGCGTTTGGGGTTGGGGCTCCATGTTTAGAGTTCAGGGTTGAAGGCGCGGCGGTTAGGGTTTCGTTATGGAGCTGCATGAGGTATTAAGGGTTTAGGGGGAAGGTTGACTCTATAAAGTGTAAGTTTTGCATGTGGCTTTCAGTCAGTGTTGAAAGGCTTACAGTGTACACTTCATACCTTGTCCAACGTACGTACTAGTTGAAAAGAAGGACCCTAAGGGATAGTTTCGGGCTCAGGTGTTTCGGGTATCGGCTCCGAGTTCCGCATTCAGCGCGTCAGAAGAGGTTTTTGTTTTTAATTTTTTGGTGGCGGTACTCTACGTCCACCTTATTTTCAGTATGTATGTAACTCAGTAGCCTGAATCTGGCAGTAAATTCTGGACCCAAAACCTCCTTCAGAACGCAACGGCTCGCGAGAGGGGCCATTGTATCGTCCACATGTAAGTCTCATATGAAAGTTGAACAGAGTCGAATTATGCAGTGTTTTGTGTTGGCTGAATCTTGACCCAGGCACGCTAGGCTCAAATTCCAAGGCTTTTTCGCACAGAGACATTTGTTAAGCACATATAAATAAGGACTGTTGGGTAATGATATGGCGCCTCAGGATAAGGCCTATCGGATGCAAAAGGCCTATGAAAAGTTGTTAAAGTCCTTAAGACCTTATTGTTCAGGCCTTATTTAAACTTGGGCAAAGCGGGCCCTACACTTTTCCGCACGGCTTTGCACCTCTCGGCAGGGCGCCGAGCTTAGCCTGGCAGACGTACCCTGGCCGGCAGCCGCGCCCGCCACTGTGTGCCGTCCTCGGGTCCTCGAGGTTGCAGCTTTTCCCTTACCTCGACATTTCGACGTTGCGGGTTGGGATAGTTGACCTTTCCGAGTTAATTAGCTGCTCACGAGCTAAGACATTGATTGTCGAGATCATTGTTAATTGTTCGAGTCGGTAACGGTGCATCAGTCCAGAATTACGTCGCAGCAGATTGGAAGCAGGCAGAGGCTGACCAGTGTCTCTGAACCGGCCCCTTTTTGTGTTAGTAGGATACAAAGTTTTTGAGATGAGTATTGGTCGGGTAGTCTGGTTGTGAGAGAAGGACGTACAAGTAGATCGCCGGGCAGCACGGCAATCCTGGCCATTCTGAGAAGGACGTAGAGGTACGTGGCAGGCCACCACCCTAGGATTTAAGGAATTGGGCCTATGACCCTAAACCCTAAACCCTTAACCCTAAACCTTCACGAATCGGATCCACGCCAGCTATGGCCGCGAATTTTACAGCTGTAGTGGGCTCCCAGGGTCGAAGCTTTGGCTTACCCAGAGAACCCAACACCCTTTAATTAAGGAATGTATACCTTAAACTATAGGGGCCCTAGTATTATCGTTTAAGGTCTATTCCTTAATTAAGGGGTATTGGGTTCTCTGGGTACATCATGTTCCACCGCTTCGCCTGCTCGCTGGGCGGCAGGGTCTGCTGGCATGCGAGGCTGGACTTCGAAACGAGGGGTTCAGTTGAGGTGGTGTTCTTTACTCCTGGTATCCAACATTCAGGAAGGAATGCAGCTCATGTGGCTATAGATGACTATAGGCAACAGACTGATTCATGGTTTTAGTTTGTTGTCATCACAGCTTTTGAAGATTGCAGGACCGCAGCAACCATGCCATCGCATCGCAGATTAGTCAACAACGCGGTGTTCAGCCTTTGGAAGCCACCAGGCGGGCAGAGTGCTGCAGAGGTGTGAAGCCTCAAATTGTGTTCAAATTATATGTATTGCGAAATTGCGCTCTAGATTCAATGTAGACGTGCTCGTTTGGGAGGCGCTTTGTGCCATGCAGCTGAATGCAGAGGCCGCGTGGTGGGCTTCCAGCAGTGCCGGCTGCGGAGCAGGTTGGCGAAAAGTACTACCATTCGTCCGGGCAAAAGACAAATCGAGCTGTTGGTTGATGCAGACAATCCTGGGATCCACGCTATCCGAGAAGCAGTCAAGCGGTTGACTGAAGCAAAAAATGCTATCGTGCACACCACCCTGTTTGCTGAACCGAGAAGACTTGAAAACAACAAGTGGAAGCAGTTTGTGCAAGCCGATGAAAGAATTTCTTTTGTTGCCGTTCCCAGAGACGGAGTTCTAAGCCAGCCGAACGACGAGGCCATGGTGTCAAGAGTCGAGAGCATTTGCTTGCGGTCCGGCACGACAGGTATTGCTGTGTTCGCTCGAGACTCTGCTTTGGTGGAGGACATCGTCGCTCGCACTTTGAAGCACCGGAAGCAGATTGTTGTGGTGGGTCCGGCGATACCCACGTTCGACATCGAAGCTCAGCGAATTTCAAACATGGGTGCCGAGGTTTTGCGTTGTAACCTAGAGCGCGATGTTCCCCTTAAAGTCCGCGCGACCCTTCATGCAGATGGAACAGGTGAGGTTCGTTTATTCACCGATGCACAACCGAAGCTTTTCGGTGATCGGCTTCAGCGTCACGGGGTCTTGATGGACTTCCTTGGCTCGCATGACTGCCCAGCTACAGAGCAGACATTGCACACGGTTGCCATTATGGTGGTGTTTCCACCGGATGCGACCTTTAGTGCGATACACGACATGATGGCTGATCGGGGCCAGTTTCGACAAAGGTGGCATCGTGATGTAGCTTTCTGTCTTCCACTGGGCCTTTACGGAAAGACAAAAAGCAAGACAGTCCAGGACACGTACGGAAGCATGTTGCAAAGGAGAATTTTCCTCGGCGGAGGCCCCTTCGTGGTCGAGAGTTCGGACACCTTGGTTGCAGTAATGCTGACCAAGCTTGGGTTTCTGGATACGGGGCTGAACGCAGACTTCAAAGAGGCCATGTTCGTCTTCATGAATGGTAGTTGCAACAAGACTCAGCTAAGACGAATTGGGCTGCTAGACAGAGCAGCTTGCACGGTCTCAGAAGCATCAGCCATGCTTCACAGCGCATTCTTGTCAAACGCTTGTTATGGATGGCAGCATGCACCATCGGACAGCCTACCTCGAAAAGTTCTGCTCAAAGCAGGTCGTATTAAAGTCCAAGACACTCCAAGGCAGGCAGTTTTTCGCGCGATGCGTCAACATATTGATGAAAGTCTTGGTCCGTGGGCAGGTCCGCAGCTACAGACTTACAATGGTTTGGTTTGGAGCATTTCACGCATGGCTGAAGGCAATATAGATCCGAAGCTGCGGGAGATCGTACTTCTCCAAGATGATGTTGGAAGGTAGCAGCATGCGTGATCCTTCGATCGAACAGCAGGCATGCATCGAGTGAGGAAGTTGAGTTTTTGACCGCATTGCACAAATGCCTTGGCATGTTTTGTCGTGAGTGCCATTCGACTTAGACTTAGAAATCTCAATGTCGTGACATGTTGACTCGAGAGATAAAAGCTGCTGCGAGAGCTCGCGCACAGTTTTCCACCATGCATCTGATGTTAGCCCCTAAGGGTCCATGTACTCAAAAAGTATATTCTTTGGCCCTAAAGTCCCCTTATGGGGAATACTTCAAGGCCAATCTATATACTATTTGGATAATTACCAGGACCCCGTGGCAACCAAAACTCGCCCGTTCCTTCTTATTTTAAGAATAGGTATTGTAATAATACACACCCAAACCCTATTCCTATTCAATTTATGAAGGCCCCGCTATTATCCTGACGGCTTGATCCCCGTCCTATGTTCACCGCATTTCGATTCTAGTGTAGGCAGGGTTCTTGAGCAAAAGTGAAGTACTCGCAGGCATACACGCGAGGTGATTGGGCCCATTCGAAGTTTGGGGTGATTCAGCCTTAAGTGGAGCTCACAGGTCAACATAATTTGAAGCTGTTCTCCTAATTTCCGATAGAGAACCATATAGCATGATGTAGACAGTATATGTAGACTGACAAACCCTAAACCCTAAACCCTAAACCCTAAACCCTAAACCCCTAAACCCTAAACCCTATAAACCCTTGACATCTCCACGGCCCAGCTCCCTCCTGCATGGGTTCTTTAAGCACTGGTCTATATTGTGTTACTTACCTTCCGTGACGCTCTATACCCACCGAGCCAACCAACACTGAACCTGCTGAGCCCCAAAATGCCGGAACCCCTGCAGAACCCTTTTCTGATGTTGTTCTGTGCTTCCCGGTTAACGAGGTCCGGCATGTCGGCGACTGTCCGGGCCCTGAGTTGTAATTTGCAGAGTTTGCCAAGGGCGTTAGGTTTTCAGAGGGGGACTTTTGTGAGCTAAGGGCATTATGTTTTCAGAAGGACTTACAAAAGATCTTTACAGGCCATGGATGCATCGTTAAGGAACCTGTAATGTTTCGCCATTCCATCGGGAGATATGGAGCTGCGACCTTCCCAGAGAGCCCAATGCCCCTTAATTAAGGAATATACCTTAAATTATAGGGGCCTTAATATTATGATTTAAGGTATATTCCTTAATTAAGGGGTATTGCGCTCTCTGGGTTGGTCTGGCCTAAAAACCTTTCAAAGCCACCGCCGAGAAAGAACGGAACTTGTCAACGCTCTTTATGCATGGCTTAGGATCTGGGGTGTGGAGTTTCGGGTTTGGGGTGTAAGGGCAAGATCTAGTCACGGATTCTTCCCGGATGAACGGAGCGAGGTTGCGAGAAATCAGTCGGTGTAAGAATGCTGTCTCCGACAGGCCTTGAAACGCAGCCGCAAATCCCCAGACCCCCACTTGTGAACTCAAGCCCATCGTCTCAGATGCTGCAGGATTTATAGGGTTTAGAGTGTCAGGCGGAGAGAAGGCCCCGCGATTGAACCCAAGCCCAAGGCATCCACCAAAGTGGAAATCCGACACCGTAGTTCCCTGAACTTCCACGCAATAAATAGGCCCAAGGTGCCTGCATGCCATCCCATGCTGCTTAGCTGTCTTTCGCCACGCGAACCCACTGTGCCCTGATCTTGCAACCGCAAGGACCCACCGGATGTGAAAAAGCGCAAATTACGTGCAGCGGTCTCTTGGCTTTTTCTTGATTGCAAGGCCATGGGCCTCCTAGAGGGATATACATATTTATACATATATATACACATATATATATATATACACAGATATATATATATATACACACACATAGACATCCCCCCTGGCCTACCAAGGCCTCTTTTCCGTTGTAAGTACCGTCAAAACCTTCTCTTGGGAGAGATTCGTGGCTACCGTCAAGAAACCTTCGCTTGGGAGGGATTCGCATTTTGCACACTTTTCATGGATGATCTCAAGTCAGGTCTCTTACAACGTCGTGCATACTCATGTCCGCTCTAATACCATACGATACGACGACGGAAACAAAAAAATCCGAGAATCCAAAACCGTTGTGGGGGGGAAGCTTTTGTTTGTGTTGTTTTGCCAACGTGTTCTGTTTTGTTGCGTCCTTGGTTTAATTGAACAGGAACCCGTGCTTCGTTTCACTTCGCTCATTCCATTAAGCTGCGTTTCAGGCAAGGCATGGCAAGGCCACAATAGTAGGATTGTGAGGTGCAGATACAAGAGATATGTAATGTTGTACTCTTACATTATTTTCTTCCTCCTTTAATATATATATATATACATATTTACATATACAAACATATCAGGAGACAGCTTATTATCATCGGTCACGGTCCGGACACACCATGCGCTTACTATCGGGTTTTGAGAAATATTTTTCGACGCGGTCAAAGCCTCGTAGGGTTTGGGGTTACAGGCACGGTAATTTGAGTCTGTTCAGTTTCTGAGCAACCCAAGTATCTCATCACTGAGTTCGGCCTTTTTTCCGAAAGCCCTCAACCTCTAAACTCTTAAGCCCTAAATTCTACATCCTGCATCCCTATATACACCAAATGCTCTGACCCATAAGTATTGGTTCCGTTTCCCGTTTCTTGCCCGCTGTGGACTGAGACAGCCTGCAAACATAAGGTTTACGGCCGAAGACAAGACTCACAAAATGTGCCTTTCACCCTTAACACCAACCCCAACCCCCACAACGCTTTGCCCTTAAGAGCTTGCGCTTAAGAGCACACGAGCCGCAACAGACATCGAAAGACATCACGCTTCGGCTACGAAGTCAAATAATGTTTGGGCTCGGAATGTCCTGGACGTAAGCCACTGTGCATTCAGGAGTCATTCCGTCCCAGAGGTATCTAAACTTTCTTTGGGGTTTAGGGTTTAGGGTTTAGGGGTTTAGGGTTTCGGGGTTTAGGGTTTAGGGTTCTGAGCTTCGGAATATTTCAGGTGCTCCGCTGGCACCCGGATAAGTGGAGCCCGGCTGTCCAGCGCTTCCCTGCTGCAGAGCAGCCAGTGCTCCTCAGCCGGGTGCTCTTCGGCGCAACAAAGCGGGGTCTTGGAGGCTTCGGGCGCCCACTATTGGTTTGTGTTTGTGTGTTACATATTTGTGTTGGGAGGGAAGGATCTGGTGAAGTGGGAACTACATGCGATTAGGGTTGTTCATCCGATGGTCATGGTGTTCAGTCACGTCGACGATTGAGCCTCGGCACAATCCCAGCAGCAGGAGCAGTCGTTACGGTCGTCGTGGTGGCATTGTAATATATCGAGTTCTGAGTAATCAGTAATGTTGTGCATCTTGGTTCCCCCAACAGATTTCTTGTCAGTTTCCATATATGAACGACGGCCTCTATACTGCAGTTTTCTCTTGGCTTACCCAAGTTTATGTGGGATCCTATAATATAAAGCAGCCCAACCAGGAACCAGAATGGAGACTACATTACTACATAGGTATGATCTCGGTCCTTTCACTGAGGAAAGATGTGACCCAGAGGATCCTCGAGGAGAAGCGGCGGTTCTGCCGCGATGTGCTTTGAACGCCGCGGTCGAGCGTTTCCATTGCGAAAGGTATGTACGTACTCGACGTAAAATCCTTCACTGCTATTTCTTGCAACTTTATATATGTCTCTATATATACATATAATATTGTTTCTTGAAAGTCTATGACCGTATTTAACTTAACGATCGACCCTAAGCCCGAGATGCCACAGCAGAGCAAAGCACGCAAAGTCGTAGGGCGCAAGCGTTGCGCTCCTCTCAGCTGTGGTTAGTCTTGAATGCAAAAACGAAGGACCCGATGCTGCCGGCATCGGGTCTTGCGGGTTTACTGTGGGTTCAGGGATGAGGGGTTTGGGGTTAGGGTTGAAGGTTTACAGTAAGGGTCGTGCACGTTACTCGTATAGTGTATATCATGGCACATATAGCAACCCGCTTACAGCAAGGTCAATATTCCCACGATATAGGCCTATAGGTGTACAAAGCCTTAGGCGGGGTAGGTGTCATTAAGTGGTGAAGGTAACGGTTTGCGGGAGGAACCTGCTCAAGAACTTCTGGTTCAGAACTCCCATCATGATAGAATCCAGATCGAGCCCTGTTCAGAGCCAGCTTCCCATCTTTAGTGTTCTATCATATGGGTGACCGTCACAATTATAGTTCTTTGGGGAGCCCTATATAATTCTGCTCTTAATACGGCACCCTGTACTACTGGGAACCCAACAAACCTAGTTTTGAAAATTTTGACAACCACCCAGCATATACAGGTCTGAAGAATCAGTAGCATTGTTGATCTAGACTTAGCTAGACAGCCCGCATGTCCTTCAAAGCCAGTCGTGATTCGTGTACTTATTTTCCGGCACTCTTAAACAAGGCTTGGCGTTTTGTGACTACGACAGTGCTCCTAGAGCTTGGGGGCGATCTTTGCACTTGTAGATTTGGCTGTCTCTGTGCTGTGCTGGTTCCCCACCCACTTTGTAAGCAGAGACAGGAACCTTAAACCCGAAGCCCCACACTCCAAACCCTATAGGTGCCAACCCTAAACCCACAACCTAGGGCGTGGTGGATGCAGGAAACCAAGATTCGAGAGATCCGCGTGGGGGTTCGTGTGAGATGCAAGACAGGCATACCTCGTACTAGTTGCACCTCCATGACATTGAGTCTCATGAAGCTACCAGCAATGCCCACCACGTTCACTCAGATTTGACCCTCGGACAAGAACCCTTCTGAGCGCTGCACCCTTAACCCTGACCCAACTCTCCCTAACCGGCTTTCCCCCGATAATCTTGAAGCCCTGAGCCTTAAACTTGAAACTGCTAAACCTTTGAAGGTACGTTCAGAACTTCAAGCAGGCTTTCTTCTCGCCAGCGTCACCTTTTCAAGATCAAACTTTCGTTCTCGCAGTTGTGCTTTTCCAGATTGCGGATCCATGCCAGACTTTGCGTGTTTGGGGCCTTTGCGGGTT